GAACATATCTACAAAATCGGAAAAGAGGCAATAACCAAAAATGAATTCAAAACAAATGTCCTGATGAGTAGAAAGAAAGGATCTTTTCAGACACAGCCTTTTCTGGATCTTCTGTTACTGAAACTGAGTCCCACGGAGTCCATCACATGACACAGGGCAACTTCTGGTGGGACTCCAAGGGACTCCGTATTGGTAGAGTGCTTTTGGAGGAGTTACCCAACTCCAAATTGGAGAACACAAAGAGGAAGCAGGGAAGGATGTGGAAAGGACACAAAACCACGTGGGATGGGAGGCCATCCCAGAAGACAGGGAAAGATGGTAGAGAACGAAAGAAGGTGGTTCCCTCCATTTACCTCTACTTTCCCCATCCCTATCTGATGAGGTCCACAGTAAAAAAAGTTAAAGTGTAGAACAAATCTAGGCTTGCTGAACACATTACAAACAATGAAGCAAGCTTCTTTCAATTATTCATAACAAAAAAGAATAAGGAAATGATAGAGCTACTGGATGGAGAAAGTGCTGAAATGCTAACATGGGACAAGTTTATTCTGTGCTGCTTCCAAAATTTCCTCCCACAGAATTCACTATCTCACTGCAGTCTGTAGAGAAGAACCAGTCTTAGATTTCCACTGAAGAAACCTGGGCTGAAACTCCATCGCAGTTTTGGCAGTTCCTTGATGCCCCCCTTCTTCAATTCACTTTCTCTCAGCATGTCCTACCTTACAAAGTTCCTGTGTAAACATGCTGAGATATCACATTCCCCAGAGAGGGAATAGATCTCAGGAAAACCAAAAATATTTCACTCTTAAGACAAATACGAAGTTAGTTTAATTCTATTTCCAGATTGCCTTTGCTCCATAAGAATATCCTACAGGCTTTTAATCTGCTTTGAGTCAAAACCAGCTTTGACAGTACACTTTTTCTTCACCCTGCCTCTCATTTTTTGTCACAGGCATTTAGTTTAGTCATATGCTCATCTCACTAAGATACAACAATTAGAAGGTAAAGCTATACCTCTAAAGAAAGACTTGTATTACTGCCTCCCATTCCCCTCCCTTCTTTCTCTCTCTTTTTGAAACACTCAAAGCGATTAAGATCCCCTCCACAACCATTCTCGATTCCTCTGAGTGATATACTGAAACCAGATCTCCTCTTAAACAGTTGTGAAATGTCTCTCTCAAAAGAGTGAGGGAGGGAGGGAGAATGAATGAATGAGAGAAGGAGAGAGATGAGGCTGAGAAAGGAAGTGGGAAAATGGGCCAAGATGAACAAAGGTACAAGAGTAAAGGGAAGGAACGAGAAAAGGGGGGGGGGCAGAGAAATAGGGAGGGGAGATTTTCATTTCCTTCTTCCCCTTCTTTTTTGTACACATTTGCTTCCAAATCTGTATCATCCATTGAAGCTTTACTAGTTCCATCAAAAGAACCCAAAGACTGCTGTACAAAAGTACCTCTGTGCGTCATGCTCTTTGCTCAAGTGTTCCCTTACAAGTCCGCAGCAGTTTGCTTTGCAAACACAAGCAGTACATTTATGTAGTATAAAGTTGTGCCATGCGTCAAGATTTGGAAAAACATATGTCAGTAGAGGGAGCACACAACAACAAGGTTCCTAAGATATTAACAACAGAATGTGTTTGAAAGAAGCTGCTTCCTCCTCCTGAATGGCCACGGTGACCCTAAGAGAAACAAATCTCATGCTTTCCCGTGGAATTCCGTGGTTCTGCAATTCAAAGCAGTGTGCTGTCCTTCTGTTTGGATTACTAGTCACTCTTTTCCATTCCTCACATCTCTTTTTTTCTATCTCCAGCTATGGTCACTGAGCTGACCTCAGTGGGCTCTTTTTCCTCCATTTGAAGGAATGGTGGTAGATACGCATATGCCCAATTCTAGGAACATTGAAACCATTGCTTTCTTTTCCATGGAACATGGACAATTTTTACTTCTCTTTCGGAAAACATTTTAGGAACAACTGCTCAGTGTGAACCAGGTATTGACTCACTTGCACAGACCCTTTTAAAATCCATTGCTCTTTCTTCCTTCACCTCCAACACACCTCATTCCTTTCTATTCCCTCTCCCATCTTGTTGAGCTGTTGTCTTCCCCACTTGGGTCATTTTTTTTTTGTTACTAGTATTTTCTGGGGATTTGGAGAAGAAGGTTAAGTATTTTTCTAAAGGGTTTTTGTGCATTCTCCTAATATGTCTCTCTTGTACATGAGTGCTACTGTCCAGCTAAAGCTCCATCAAATGTAAGAAATGAAAGAGAGTTCGCAGGGTGGGTATTTGTGTGTAAATCTCCCCTATTTTTGTTCTCCTTGGTTCTTTTGAGCAGGGGAAAGCAAGACTGAGAGGTTAGGGAGGATGAACTGCAACTGACTACTATTCCTGTAAACTGGTATCCTTTCCAACCTCTGAGGATGCTTGCCACAGATGCAGGCGAAACGTCAAGAGAGAATGCTTCTAGAGCATGGCCATACAGCCCAAAAAACCTACAACAACCCAGTCTTCCATTTCTGAAAGTACCAATATGCTTCTGAATAAGTGCTTAGGCCAGAGCTGTGATTTGAGTGTATGGTATTGTCTGCCCCACCATTTGGCAGGGCACAGACCTGAGTGTCTGTGTTGGGTGGGATGGCGGTAGTCTAGGGGTGGAGGAACATTCTAAGTTTCCATTGTCTTAGACAGATAACTGCCCACAGCATCCTGCATGCTGCTCCTGCAGGGGATTGATAATAGCAGTGTATTCAAGGAGACAAATGATGTTTATGATGCTTCTTTGGGATTCCCTATAATTGCAAATGTATTTCCGATGGCCTCTGGAATAGGGATGTGGTTGGTGATTGAATTGATTACCAGACATGAGACAGGGAATATACTTCTAGAAAAACCTTCCTTCTCTTCATTTTGCTAGTGCACACACACACTTTCTACCAGGACTGTAGCCAGAAAAAATTGAGGGGGGGGGGGGGTTGAATTTTTTTTTGTAGCAAATCATGAAAAGTAGTCCCATGACACAAAATAATTTAAATAGTATGGTTCATTCTATATTTTATATAAACTTAATTAATCAATTTTCTTGTCTCCTTCATGGGGGACTTCAAATTGCCCCACGCCTTAGGCTTTGCCTACCAATTGTGGGTGGGCCAACTTGGTTGCTTCCACTATATCAGCTATTGCTGCAAGTAATGACTGTGAATAAATTGTCAACATTTGTTTGAGATAGTGCTTGCAGTTCTGGAGGGACTCTTAATTTTTTACGCCTCATAGACTTAGCATGGGGATTTGGTTAACCAGTTAAAATTCATGAGTAAACCAGGTTTTTTTTTACCTGAAAAATTTGGGGGGGGGGTTGAACCCCTACCCCCCACCCCCCACCCCCATTACAGCCTTGCTTTATACAGGCAATACAGATTGTGCTTGTGTCAAAGCAGGAGAGTTAGGTGATATATTGTTGTTGTTGAACAGCTTCCTGTCATTTTCAGGAAAGACCACTATGTGAAGGTACAAATATATCTATTCTGGGCACATCATGTAAAATGACATAGGAGAGATTGGGAAGAAACCCAAATTCTGGAATGAAGTTAGCAAGATGAAATGTGAGTGTTCTTAGGAAAAGTGGGATTCAGTTATTAATTCATATAAACCAAGATGTGGTGTTTAAAGGAAGCAAGCAGACTAGGTAGAGCCCATCCTCGTGGGACACTTTGAATACAGAATGGCAAAAGAACCAAATGGGCTTAACTGGTTAACAAGGATCAAAGATATACTAAAATATGTTAAGGTGCTTAGGTAGCTATGAGGGACATGATGTAAGAGCTCAGTTCAGTTTATAAGGTTAGATTTGTAAAAAGCATAAAAGGAATACATAAAAATAAAACACCACTCATACCAAAAAGTTGCTGCGTGTTAACATGTATGTATAGGTAACATGTAGGCAATATATTAGAAAAAGAAACACAAAAAGAGAGGAGATTCCATCTGAACATTAGGAAGAACTTCCTGACTGTGAGAGCCGTTCAGCAGTGGAACTCTCTGCCCCGGAGTTTGGTGGAGGCTCCTTCTTTGGAAGCTTTTAAGCAGACGCTGGATGGCCATCTGTCAGGGGTGATTTGAATGCAATATTCCTGCTTCTTGGCAGGGGGTTGGACTGGATGGCCCATGAGGTCTCTTCCAACTCTTTGATTCTATGATTCTATGAAAATTGTGGTTGTATCTGTAATTACAAATCAATCTCCGGTGTTTTTACTTTTACTATAACTGGATCACTTTAAATCTATGTGTTTGTTTAAATCAAGTGTTGCTAAGGGAACACTGAGAGAAAACACAGACGTTTGAGAAGACTGAGCATAGCAGGTCAGTGAACCAGATGCCCTTGGGACAAGTCACCGCATATTCAAGCTGTTTTTTGAAGACTGTGAGTGGAATACCTGGTGTGATAGTTCTCAGACATGTGCAAAACCAGTTGGAGTAAATCCACCTGGCAGTACCGTTTTGCAATCTCAAGCAGCAGGTGATGACTGCACTGGAGTTAAATCAGTTCTTCAGGAAGAGAAACTGAGCAGGAGATACTCACATGTACTTGTTTTCTCCAGTATTGTCCCAGGTCAGTGCTAACGTTGTAAGTGTTTCCACAATTCAACAGTTTCACCTATTCCTCCTTCCATTCATGCATATGGAAATAAATGTCAACTGGTGGTGATGGTTTTAAAATTTAGAAGAATATGAGTTTTTTGGGCCAGAAAATCATCAAAATTCAGGTTGTATCTGAGATTAAAAGACTGAATTATGAGAAAAATGATATGATGTAAGCATTGATTTTAAAAGTTTCAGCAAAAATATGAAAGATGCTAGCCTACTAATCTTGAATGTCAGAAGAACACTGGCCAAAGTGAGAAAATAATAAAGCCCTAGTAGCTGAAATTCAAGTGACCCAGATCTGTCTTTTGCCTTTCAACCCTCCTGCAGTGGCAAAGCTGGTGAAATATTATGCATCTGTGCTTACCCCACAGCTTTCCAGAATGATCTTCTGATTCACTGTTGGGACCTTCTGCTGCTAAACTTTCTCTTCCTGAGCTGGCATCATCTGCAGCAAAAGAAAACAAGAAAAAGACTGTTTAAAACTATCACACAGTACGTAGTGCCTGAGCCAGGGTGCAGGTTGGAGGCTTTGCAAAGGCCGCACTGCTGCCTTTGGAATGCACAAGCTCATTCCATTCCAGCACAGTGAATATGTTTTGCTGCCTGGCCAGTTTAGTTTCTTTCCTGGTTTTGGAGTTTTTCAGCTGGCTACTAATATGATGGGACATTAATTAATCCTTCCATTAATAGAGAACCAAGGTCTCTTTGTTTATGTTTATGGGCTGGTGTTTCCAAGCAGGAGATGGAACAGTTTTACACTCCTTGCAAATGATGGCATAAATCAAAATTATAGCTGAAAAAAGGCAACAAAGACTTCTGGGAATCAGTCATGCAGGAGGCAACACTTCACAGCTTCCAGAAAAATCCAGGAAATGAAAATGTATTTTATTTATTTTGAAAACCACACAGTGCCTTGCAACAAATTCTAACTTATTTATACCCAGGAAGAGTCAAAATAAAACTCTTTTTGGAGAGTGTGACAAAGAAGAAAGGGTAGGGGACAGACAGGAATGTTAATATATCACCTAAACAGAGATTAAATCAGAGATTAAAGAAATGTGTCCCAACTGCAACATCAATGTGAGTCAATGACTGATGCTCCATGTACCCTGCCATAAAATCCAGTTTGTGAATCCAGCTTATCTGCTTTGAACTGGATTCTATGGTTGTGTAGACCCATCTAATTCTGTTCAAAGCAAAGAATCTGGAATCAGATTTTGGATCATATGGATCCAGCCTGAAACAGCATTGGAGAAGCTCACAAGGTGACTTTGGACTAGATATTATTTTTCAGGTAAACCTTTCTTGCAGGTAAAAGACAAGAAGATAAAATTGGGAATTGGGGAATGATAAATGCTGCTCAAGGCTGCCTTGCTTCTTGGGGGAAGTGGAAAAGAGAAATATCTAGACACACATGTGTGTAGGCAAACACACACCAAGTCCTGTTTGCCATTTCAATTGCACTTAAAAGGGCTTCTGTGCTCCTTGACTGTCACTGCTTTTTCTAGAGAAGCCAGGGAGTGCCATATTTGGTGGGCGTTCAGCATTCTTTGCACTATCAGTCTGATAGTGTATTTTGGGCCCTTCCAGACAGATCCTATATCCCAGGATCTGATCCCAGGTTTTCTGTTTATCTCAGATTAGCTGGACTCATATAATCCACTCTTAAACAGAAAACCTGGGATCAGATTCTAGGATATAGGTCCTGTCTGGAAGGGCTCAACGTCTAGATAGGAAGCCATTATATGGAGTCCACAAGAGGTCGAATGGGTGGCCTTCCTTTTGCAGCTCAGAAAAGTATGTGAGTTTTCCGGCCCACCACTTTCTTTAGGAATGAAGAGACCATTCATTCTTCTTGTCTCTTACAGTCGCTGTGGCACACTTTCACATTTTGATAGCTCAAAGCATTTTTATGTGACAATAAAATTTGTTCCTTTCTAACATCTAAATTAAGAAATCATTTCTGCATTGTAAAGCAATAGAAATGATAGAAAATAAAAAATCCAAAAACTCACAGAAATATATGCCTCTAAATATAGTAAAATGGTTTACTCTCTATTCAGCTATTCAAAGTTGACATTTATGATAGGTCCTACAAAACTCTGCTCATACCTTTATACCTCACAGTACACATTTAACAATCAGTAGTTGTGGGAGGGAGGGAGTTCCTTAAATGCACTAGCTGCTTACATGAAATATACAAATGTGCCATCTTGTCGAGTGTACATAATTCAAGGGATGCTCTGCTTTTCAACATACAGCAGCAAAGGTTCAGCTGCTATTCTCCTTAAAATTGGAAATTGCTTGCAGTTTTACCACCAAGTTACCCCACATCATAAGTAAAATCAGACAGATTTATTTGAAGCCAGTCAAGACACATGTGGAACTATTTATTATTGGAAGTTAGCAGCAAAACAGAAATAAGACTTAAAATGAGGATTGGTTTAAATGCAAGCCCCCAAATATCCCAGGGATCTCTCTCGAATCCCGTGCTAGGTCTTCCCTGCAGATTTTGAACAGCGGTTTTGTCAATTAGAAGTTAATCCCACACAACCTGGTACGCATCGGCTGGCCTCCCCTCCTTTGTCTGCAGCTTCATGTTACAGTACGTCCACCAGAGTGAGCCCCCCTTCGCCCCCCACTCCACTCATGCACACCAACTAATTGGCATTCTCAGCCGCACCTGACCCTCTGCCAAGCCTTTCATGTGAACCAAATTGCTGTGAATGCGCCAGATCCTTTGAAGATGCATCTCTCCTCTTATCCAGCCAAATCCTCAGACTGTAGACCTGCATATAAGACTCAGGGAAACGTACTCCCCGCCCTTTGTAACAAAAGTTGGAAGGGGAGTGGCTGCATTTTTAAAAAAGGAAATAATGTAACTCTGAAGGATAGCAGGAGTTGCGGAAATGTCTTGAAAGAGAAAAACACGTTCGCCTATCCAGGAGAAACTGCATTGAAACATATGGGCTTGCCATGATGATGAGTTGTTTGCTTTGTAGCCAACAATAGAGCAAAGAACCTGTTGTAGATCCTGCTGCGTACTGCAGATTTTCAGGGTCTCCTTTCAAATGACAATACAGATTGATTTATATAATGACTAGCAAAGGTAAGGCAATGGGACTACCTACTGGGTAAATCTGGCATAGAATCATAGAATCCTATAGTTGGAAGAGATCTCGTGAGCCATCCAGTCCAACCCCCTGCCAAGAAGCAGGCAAATAGCATTCAAAGCACCCCCGACAGATGGCCATCCAGCCTCTGTTTAAAAGCCTCCAAAGAAGGAGCCTCCACTACACTCAGAGGCAGAGAGTTCCATTGCTGAACAGCTCTCACAGTCAGGAAGTTCTTCCTAATGTTCAGATGAAATGTCCTTTCTTGTTTGAAGCCATTGTTCCACGTCCTAGTCTCCAGGGCAGCAGAAAACAAGCTTGCTCCCTCCTCCCTATGACTTCTTCTCACATATATATACATGGTTATCATGTCTCCTCTCAGCCTTATCTTCATCAGGCTAAACATGCCTAGCTCTTTAAGTCACTCCTCATAGGGTTTGTTCTCCAGACCCTTGATCATTTTAGTCGTTCTTCTCTGGACACATTCCAGCTTGTATAAAGGAAGCCCCCAATGAATATCAAGTGCTGTGGGGTAAATTTTAGAGGGGGAAACTGGCAGAACCTCCACTGACTGTTCCTTGTCTAAGAAAACCCTATGAAATTAAATGGATCATCGTAAGTCAGCAGGTCACTTGAAGCCATACACACGAGGAAACAATCATACTGAGTGTATGCTGCAACTATTAAAAATACTGGGTTTTAATATGTATGGAAGCATTACAGAATCAGTAAAATTAAAACTGCTCTCTGTGAATATACAGTAAATTGTAACAATATCATTTAAAGTTAATCCTCGAGTTACAAACATCCGACTTATAAATGACTCATAGTTAAGAACAGGGGGGAGACAATAGGAAGTGAGAGGAAATCTATCTCAGGAAAGGAAATTCACTCCTGAAAGAGTTATAATGGGGGAAAGGTGAAGCTTTATCACCAATCCTTGTTTTCACAACAAGCCAATTTTTTCAAAATCCTTATCACAGGGACAGAAAGTGGGGTGAAGTCTTCTGAACAGGGGTACAGAGAGCAAAAGAAACACCACAAGGGTATTAACACTTCCCTATGCTATCCAAAGCATTCGTGAATTAATACATGCATGCATAAATATATGTTTATATAGCTGCGGTGGTGCAATGGGTTAAACCCTTGTGCTGCTGAACTGTGGGCATGAAGGTTGGCTGAACTGCTGACCTGAAGGCCAGCAGTTCAAATCCGCAGGACGGGGTGAGCTCCCATTTGTCAAGCTCCAGTTCCTGCCAACCTAGCAATTCGAAAACATACAAATGTGAGTAGATAAATAGGTACTGCTTCGGTGGGAAAAGGCAAAGATACGCTCCAAGCAATCTTGTCAGCCACACAACCAGGAAGTGACAACATAGGCTCCTCGGCTTGAAAATGGAGAAGGCACCTCCCCAGAACCAGAGATGAGCACCAGAAGCCGGAAATGAAACGAGAAGCCTCTGCCTTTGTTTGTGTCTGTGAGTCTCATTGTATATGACTGTAAAGGCATTGAATGTTTGCCCACGTATGTAATTGCTCTAATCCCCTAGGGGAGAAGTATCTGTTCTGACTTACATACACATTCAGTTAAGAACAAACCTACAGAACCTATCTTGTTTGTAACTTGGGGGCTGCCTGTAGTTGAAATACCTAGAATTTAAAGACTAGACAGCACAATATTTCTCCATTAAACGAAGTTACCATACTATTCTCCTGGCAGAAGCATACTCTGTATTCTTGTGTATAGGTCTAGTTTTAGCCAAAAAATCAGCCCAAGAAGCTTTGGTTAACTTATCCACGTAGCAATCTGAGTTGTGCATCTTACCGCTTAACAAAAAAGGAAACACCCCCTTTTCTGAGTAAAGTGACAAAAGACAAGAACTTAGTCTATTCTATAAGATCCTGAAAGAAGCGTCAACCCCTTCAATTCTCTCCGCTGAGGTGCTTCTTCTGGCCTTTTGAAATGTCTGGATGGGGAAATGGTGACAGTGGCCAGGGTTTGCAATCCATAAGTCAGTACTGGTGCTTTCACCTCTCTGCAGAATGATCCCAACTTATCCATCGGTCATATCAAAATCCATAATTTTTGCCTTTTATCTACCCTCAACCTATACATGAGTGGGATTATACTAGAGTATATAAAGTAAATATTAATAGTTTGAGAAATAAACAAATGGCAAATGGCAAAGCCCAGTAGTTAGAGTTAGATAAAAATTGCTCAGTAAAAAGTACTAGTAAAAGAGAAGATTGCATCTTCTGGATTTCAGAACCTACAAAGTCTTAGGTCCTCTAGTAGGACCTAAGAACAAGAAAATGTGTTCTCTTTCATATT